TTGGTTCTCACAGTTACCACAAACTAATTAGTTCTCATTTGATTAGGCCCCTATATATATATATATATATATATATATATATACTAACACACATATACATATAAGTGGGAGTTCAAACAAGAACTTCTCTGTTTTGCAAAAACACGAGAATAGTTGTGGGCCTCCAATTTTGTTAATCAATATTTTAAATTATAATAAATAATGTAATATAATTATGTATTTTTTTATAAATTTTATGTTTTTTTTAATTAATTGTGGTTATTCCATGGTTTTATATTGGAATTTGATCATGTCTTATCTCGCATCTAAACAGTTCGACTGTGATAAGTATATGATCGGCACTCAATCATCGAGCCTTACCCTCGACTGTGATAAGTATGTGATAGGTATTCAATCATCGACCGTGTTGTGTATCACTCCCCAATGATCGAAATCATGTTCATCTTGTTATTTGAATTTTAATATACCAATTTTCAATTTTACCCTTCCACATGTTCAATATTTTTTATTTTATTTTTAAATCTTAATTTAAAATTGAAAACTCCCTTAGCTTCTCTTAAAATGTGATTTAGAACACAATGTTTGGTTTATTGGTTGTTCTTGCATTCTCGTAAATCAATGAGAATCTTTAAAGTTAAACGTATATGAAATATATTCAATATTTTAATAATATAATTCATATTGTAATCTACAAAAATAGAGAAGCTAGAAATTCAACACTATCACTTATTTACAGGCTAAGATTTGAGTTCACCAAAACTGTATCGACACTATTGTATGCGATAATTTTTACGATGAGCGCTAACCATAATAAGAGTTGTTTCCTTCACTTACAGAATTATAAGTGCGGTTATTATGATAAAATCAACAAGAAAATCGAGAGTTATTATGATAATATTAAATGAACTTAATCATCCATTTTGTTCGATCTTTTCAAATTTCTCGTAAATGACTTATTAAAATCTTATCTTGATTCATAATTCAAAAGTGGTCCAAAATGTGGACGCTCTTTTTTGGGCCACTTGCGCATAAGTCAAATTAACAACGGTTTCGAGTCTTTTGTTGAATTAATACTTACGAAGTTTGATTAAAGATATATTGGAACTTCAATTATTAAATAATATTATAAAAAATTGTTGATTAAAATTAATATTAAAAATCTTGCAAAGACTGCTACTAAATACGTGTTTGATTCTTTAATTATGACAATACAAATATTATATTACAAGGAGGAATAAAAATTTCATTGTGGCCACGAAGGTTCAAATGCGGTGACTCCGGACTATCTGCAAAGCATGTGGTAGCCCTGAGATTAATCGGCTCATATAGCAAGTTGGATATCCCTGGGTAATAAAAAATATATATTAAAAAAAATCATGATTTTGTTACGTCAATTTTTATTTTTTATCACATCAATTTTACTTTTTATTATACATTTTACAGTAAAGCATGGACCGGTTCATGGTTTATATAATAAAAATTATATCAGTTAAAAATTACAATGCTAAAAGCTATAAGTTACAACGTCTATCAGATGTCTTAAGAAACTATAAATATCTGATAACATATGTTATTGAACCAAATGGTTTTTGGTCTAGTAGTATTGTAGTCTTTGGTCTTTTAAAATATCAGGGGTTCAAACTTTAACAAATATGAAGAGATTGTTTGAGTTTATTATTTGCATTTGTCGTATATAAAATATTACATACTTAATTATTTGTTTTGAAAAATAATGGAATTATGATCATGACAAGGAGAAACACAAATTGAGCACGTTTGTTGGGAGTGTTTTACTTTAACAAATATTTATGAGATGTTTCCATCTAATTTCCTAAAAGTTAACGATGTTTGTGTATTAATTAATTATTTAATTTCGAAAACGACAATTAAATAAATTATTAATTACTGAAATCAAGTTGATAAAATCAAATTAATTGATGCCCTCAAATCTTTATTTTGAAATTAATGACCATTTTATTATTGTTTAATTAGCTACACGACAAAACCATCAAAAGGCTGCAAAAGTTATCATGGAATCTTGGATGTTTATTTAATTTTATAATAATTAATTAACGATGTAAACTGAAACTAAATCGATGTTTTAAATCTTGGATCGTTTCTTGATTTGGTTGTCGAATAGGTTAAAATTGAGCAAATGCAAGAAAAATCAGATAAATTATTAAAAATATAAAATAGGATTTAATTATTAAAATAATATAAATTGGATATTTGGAGGAAGTACTGTAACACAAATTATAGAAATGAATAAGTAGTTGATTCAAATTTGAATACAACTAAAATTATATATGATTCGTGTGATCTTGACTGTGATCTGAACTCGTGGGTGAAGTCGCCTCCACAACTTTCTACTGAATGCAGGGATGGACCCAGATTTTTTTTTTCAAACAGTGGTATCGTTTGACTATAAGAAAAGAAAATTAGGGAAAAAATTTAAACGGTGACACCATTTGACAATAAGAAACAAATGTACATAATTTTTTCAAATTATTGCACCATTTGACTAAGAGAATGACACTAACATGATTCAAAACTTGGGTTTATGGTGGAATAAAAGTCTTGCAAACCAACTCTACCGAATAAAACTTGTTCTCATCGTAGTTTCAAAATACATATGGTGACATACAACAAATTAATATGGTTGCACATTTTACGAACCTAAAACATTTTATCCTTCGACGGATGAATAATACGGTGACATGTGCCAATGTATGCTCTACTGTAAGTCTGTCTATGATTGAATGTGTTCCATAATCACATGTGATTTCAATGCAAAGTCAACGTGGTTTCACCATTTCGTGTTTTTTTTATTTTAATCATGTTTTCGTTTGATCTTCTATATATATATATATATATATATATTCACATGAATATTTAGCTTTTTTTAATTTGAAATTCAAATAATTGTGGGAATAATTAAATCCCAATCATTCAATTAATTTTTAAGCCATTACTAAAGTGGTTCACATATTTTACGTATATAAAATACATATATACATTAAATATGTAAATGGCACACGTGTGCCTGAGGTGGAGTCCGTTTGCAACACCCAAAAATAAGAGAAAAATATAATGCGGGTTTGGTTACTAAAAAATAGTTGTTGCATTAAATATTCTAAAAATGAAACCAACTTCATAGTTGGTTGACGTTTGTGACATGGATCTAAATTTTAAACTTATGGGTTCGGATCAGATAAATTTGGTCATAACTGATTTAATTCAATCATTCGTTAGATAATCTTTTTTAAAAGACATAAAAAGTTTATCTGAATAAAACAGATACAATAAAAGCCAATCAAGATTTTCTGCAAGGTACAGAAAAACCTAGCAAATCAACATCAGAATGAACCAAAAAACATATGACAAACAAAAACTAAAGCTCAACAACCTTGAAAGATAACAACGTTTGCTTGAAACAAAACATTCGTTGGATGAATTGATGTTAAATTATGGTAATAGATGAAGGGGTTGTGTATGTTTTTACTTAATGGCGTAAAAAGCTTATTTGGTATATCATATATGGGTGTTTTTGTTTGTGCTTATTCATTGAAGTCATGATGTGATCGTTATATAAATGGTAGAAATTGTATCCATTAAGGTATGAAATTTACTGCTCCCAACCTTCTCTCAAAGCTTGTCGCTTCCTATTCTAATGAACGCTGAAAACTTCAAATGAAAATTGCTCCTTCCCTTGCGATACCTCTCTGTCATCTTATGCTACTATACGTTGTCCTCTCCGCTGCCACCTACTACTGCTCGCATTCCATGTTGTTGATTTATTCTTTGGTTTATATTCAAAAGTTTGGTCTTGAATCCGTTAATTTGTGGTTTAATTTATATCTAAAAGTTTGCTTCAAATGTGGATCTTTGGTTGGTTTTGTGTTTTTATTCTTAATTCTTTGAATATAGAGTGGAAATTTGATGTTAAAGTACACTGAAACGAAGTCCAAATATTGTTTTTAGTTCAGGATCGTGAGAACCCATCAAAATGGACCCGAACAATTATAAATTCTACACCAGGTGCTAATATTTTGTCGTAGTCTTGCAATGAATTGATCTCTAGGCCCATGATTGCTATGTCGACTATGACAACAATGCACCATCTTTTCATTAGGGGATCAAGTGATGCCAATTACATGATGAGGGGTAAAATGGTCAATCATGTAATTCAAGTTGTTTTAATCTACAGATGACTTAATGAAAAAACAAACAAATAGAGCTTGAGGGGTTAACTCATCTCATTGACAATAATTTTGGGCTTTATACTCCTCCCGTTAAAGGATTTTTCTGACTGTTTTCTAGAACCTCATGAGACTAATCGTGGTGCACATATGTTCGTCTGGACACCCACGGTTACAAAAAATAAAACAACATGTAAATCCAAGTAACTTTGGACAATGGTTTGGTAATCAGATTTGAGCTGTTCGAATTTATTGGATTTTGAACCAGTATCCAACAAAGAAACTGGATCGATTTGAATATTAAATTTTGTAATCTGATCTCAGTCTAGTTATTCTTAAACACGAAATTTCAATCGACTATTTATAATTGAACCGTATGATTTTTTGCACGTAGTTATTATTTATTGGCATTGATTTTTATTTATTTTGGATAATTGTTTTGTGGCAAAACGTCATTATTAAATCAAACATTTTTGATAAATTAAAGGAAATAATAAAGAAATAAAATATTATATAAATTGAAAAATGATGCGTCAAGCCATGACGTCAGCAACATAATGGTTTGTGCATTCACCACGTGATATACATTAATCTTTGTTTTTTCTTTTTGTTGTCTCAACTTGTCCACTTGCCCACCAAAGCTCCAGATGTTTCCTTAAACCCCCTCCTACTTATCTATATTTACACTTTACACCCTCCACAGTCCACCTCTTTCATCGCATATATAAACCCATCATCCCCTTCCTCTTTCCCAGAATTTTTCTTTCAACTCTTCAAAGTCACTAAAACCCCATCTCAACCATGATGCAAATTCCTTCACACGCCGTTGATGCTTTTCCGACAACCAATTCCGGCGAAGTTCCGGCCTTTTGCCGGAGCTTGAGCTTCAGTAGCCTCATCCCATGCTTGTCGGAAAATTGGGGAGACTTGCCGTTAAAGGTGGATGATTCAGAGGATATGGTGATTTACGGCATTTTGCGTGATGCTTATAGTGTTGGATGGACTCCGTTTAATTTTTCCGGCAAAGAGATTAAAGCCGAGTCGAATGAATTAGAGACGGAGCCAGCAACCCGCACACCTCCGTTATCGGTGGCGCCGGCGAAGGTAGAAGAAGCGGTTTCAACATCCCTAGCGGCGTCGCCGAAGGGAAAGCACTACCGGGGTGTGAGGCAGCGACCTTGGGGGAAGTTTGCGGCTGAGATAAGAGACCCGGCTAAAAGCGGCGCGAGGGTGTGGCTTGGGACGTACGAGACGGCTGAGGAAGCCGCAACGGCGTACGATATAGCTGCATACAGGATGCGTGGCTCCAAGGCTTTGTTGAACTTCCCACATAGAATCGGGTTGAATGAGCCGGAGCCAGTCAGGGTTACATCCAAAAGGAGATCTCCTGAGCCGTCATCTTCATTTTCATCGGCTTCTGTAAATGGCTCACCTAAGAGAAGAAACACAAAAGGGTCAACAGCTGAACAAGTGGAGCTGGAAGTCCAAAGCCGATCATCAAATGTGATTGAAGCCGTTTCTGGTTAGGTAGATATTGAAGCCAGCCGATTGTTAGACTATACTTTGGCCAATTTGCGAATTGTGTGGATCCCATACGTAAAGTAGAAGATACGCACGGGTCGGACCTTGTATTCGGATTGGATTTGCGAGAATGTGACATGAAATACCCAAAAGGCCCTCTTCCCACTGAGGTTTATGTAAAAAGATGTGAGGTCATAAATGAAAATTTGCTACATTGCAACAGTTTTCTTAATTCTTGGTATATTTATTTAGTATTTACAATATAATACGACAATGAGTCTTCTTTTAATTATAAATCCTTAAATACATATAAAAATTAACAAATATAAAAATTAATCTATTATAAAACTAAATCAAACGTTGTTTGTTTACCTCTTAATAGTTTCATTACAAGACAATATCTGAATTGTTAAGAGATGAATTTTGTTTGACAAAAATAAAGTATGTCTCTTAATGGTTTTAAAACTCTCTGGATGATTGTGCTTCCCTTAACCATTCAACGTCCTAATTCTATTATAAATAATTATCTAACAATTATATTTCATTTTACACTATATTATAAGAGTATTTTAATAATTCTAACCACTTAATTATTTTATACCAAACCATTCAACAACTATCAAATAGTTATTAAAATTGCATAAATCAATAACCGGATGATATAATGGTTTATGATGACCCACAGAAAACCAGGTTGATATTAGATAAACTCAAAGCTACGTGCTTCTTAAAGATAATGTTATTTTATTAGGGATCTAATCGTCATTTAATTTAAAAAAACAATTTAAAGCATGATGAAGGCTACAACTACCAATTGCCAAATATTAAAACAATTATTTTATTTTTTAGAATTAATTATATTTATTTTATTTCAACGATGTATTAAAGGGGTATTTGGGATTGCTTATAAAAACAACTTATTGATTTATTCCGGCATCACGTTAGTAATAAACACTTTTGAATGTTTGGATAAACAACTTATACCGGTGTTAAACCAATAATAAGAAGTTTTTGAAAAAATTAAACTTTTCTGACTTATAATAAATTGATAAGTGCGTTTATAGATAAATATAAGTTGTTTCAAATAAACAATCTCAAACACCTCCTATTTTTTTTTTCTAGCATATAATTACTATTAATAAAAAACATTTGCCATCCAAGAATTTACATCGTTTTTAATGAAAACCGTTGGAGTAGTTTTTTTTTTTTTTTTATGTTGAAACCATGGATCAAAAATCTAAGCTTGTATAAATCCCAATTTCAACTTTAATTAAATTAGAACGCTAAAATATTATTTGTTTTCTTATTTTTTTAAAGGGCGGGGGGCCCCGGTTTTTAGTAATATCTCCGGGTTCCGACGGGTACGGGGATTAACATCTCGTCCCCTGTCAAATCCTGGTCAAACCCGATAAAGGATATCCGTTAGTTTGAATCTACCAAGGATCCCAGACCCTTGGACCTGTTTTAGCGGGAAATCTCCGTTCCTATTTGGGTCGGGTGAGCCGGGTTCCCCACCGTCTCGTGGCAAATCATCATCCTTAGATGAATGAAATGTAGAAAAAAACTCGTGCAACCAGATATTTTTATTTTCTACATTTTCTTTTAAAAAAAGACGATTAGAAAACACCACGGTAAAAGTATACAAAGAGAATAAAATTTTGAAATTTACATTTCACACATGATTGTTTTCATATTCAACAAATTGAACTCGTTTTATTAATTTCCTTCTAATAATGATGGTATTTGACATATTTCAACTAACTAATCTATATGATTAATGTAAATGGATTATTTTTACATTCAACAAACGAATTTTGAATCCCTTAATCTCGTATAAACCAACGGAAAAACCTCTGACGGTTTTGACGAGACTCGAATTGATAAATTATGGTCTACAGAGAAGAGTCGTAAAAAATAAAACCGTTACTGACAGTGAATTAATCATTGAATATTACAGGTTTTATATGTTAATTAACAAATATGATATTTAATACATTATCATTATAAACTCATTCTAACACAAATCCAACCTTCTCACAAGCCTTAAAAATCAAGATATTAGGAGTATGAAACCAATTATAGTCAAAGTCAATGCTTCTATTTCTTTTCTTACTAAGAAATGATGACCTTGCTTAATTTCAAAGCAAAATCCAAAAAAAAAAATATATAATTTAAATTGTTTAATTTTTAAATTATTTTTTAATGAAAAAAATAATTAAATTTCTCGTTTTGATTGATTAAGTCTTTAAATTACTATTTTTGAATGAAAAAACCATAAACTTTTACGTTTTAAATGATTAAGACTCTGATTTTAAAAAAAAATATCGAACTTTTACTAGTCGATTAATGTAATTTTTTTGGGTTAAAAGGATGTAAATAACCAATTTTTAAAAGTGTTATTATTCAATCAATCAAAATGAGAACGTTTAATGGTTTTTTCATTCAAAAAAAGAAAATTTTAATGAGTTTTTCATACAAAAATATAGTTCAAGAACTTATTCAATTAAAATAAGACAATGTAACAGTTTTTCCATAGAAAATAATACTTCAAAATCTTAATAATTAAAAATGCGACTAATTTCAATTATTATCCTCTAGTTAATGTTGGACTTTTACGATATATGATTTTTTTCTAAAATACAAGTCTTGATAAATAAATAAATAAATAAAAACCCTGATTTATGTGGTTCTTCTTTGATAATAATTATATATATATCGTTTACCTTTTTATTTTTCACATTCACATCTATCTTCAACTATTCTATTTTAATAATTTCGGTATTTATTATATTATCAAAATATTCAGTAAATTTATCATCCAAAATTCCAAATACACTTTTAAAAGAATTCTATAAAAGGTTATAACACATTCAACTTCATTGGTGGAAACAATTGAAATAATATATTTCTCGTCAATATTATGTTTAAAAAAATTTCCAAATTTGAAGATTTCTACCTTCTCATTTTCGCCCTGTAATTTAACACACACTTTAATATAGTTAATTAAAGCAAAAAAAAAAAAAAAAAACCCTAAATCTATATTTTAAGTTGTCAAAGATGATTTTTAAGACTTTGTTCATAATAATTTATAAACGGAATTCAAATATTATATTTTTCATAAATAGGCTTTAAATATACGATCTTTTTAAAATCTTGTAAACTTGCCTTTAAATCGTTATCCTAATGGTGAAAAAAATAAGATTATAAATTTTTTATGACAAATTGCATGAAAAAGTAACGTATTTTAACTTGATTTCTATTTTAGACAACGTACATCCAAAACTTTCATTTTTGGTACCTAAAATGTTTAAAATTTTACATCTTAGGTACCAAAATAGAAGTTTTAAAAGTACGTTACTCAAAATAGGAATCAAGTTAAAATACGTTACTCAAAATAGAAATCAAGTTAAAATACGTTACTTCATGCAATTCGCCTTTTATTAAATAATAATATTATTCTTTTAATTTCATATTATTATAATACCATACATTTGAAGTATTTTTATACAGAATATTGCATATTGCCATTATGTTAATTTTAATTTTAAAAGAGTTTTATTTTTATATTATATCACTAATCACTATCCTGTTTGCTGTCCAACCCAATAATTGGATGAGAAGCCCAGAGAAGGCCCAAAGTGGTTGCTTTAATTTTAGAGGCTGTGGCCCAAATACAAAGATCCAATGAGTAGATTATTCAAGTTCAGATCGAAAAAAGATACAAGTTACGAGCCGCACTCGAGCTCGAATATTTCATCGAATGCTCGAGTTTGATGCTCTTTTTAACAACTTTGAATTACACATTGTACCAAAATTTAAACTTTACAAGCTCATTTATGAATTTGAACTTTGAGATTGGACCAACTCTAACTCTAACTCTAACAATTTATATATTTCAAATGTATGATCTATGAAAATGTTAACTCAAAAGGCCTGCTCGATTAATTTTTTTTTATCGAACTGAATAAAAATTGATATTATAAAACTCGACTCGTTAGGTTGAACGAAGTTTTATTTTGTATATAAGATTTGAGAAAATTATTGATCTAAAAGCTCAAGGTAAATAGAGTAACTCGACACCCTTTTGCCAACCTAAAGGTCCTTAATCGGAGAAAAAACACGTGTCTCCATCTAAAGCAAGCAACCGTCAAATGACAGCTCTTGTACACGTGACATCTCCCATCAAATACGTGTCACAACGCCACCACCTCCTCCCTTCTTTATAAACCCACTCCAAATTCTTTCTCTCACACGTAGAATCATCAGAATATCTCCATCACCACCAACGCAAATGGCTCGTGTCTACCACCACGAACACGAAGGACGAGGAATGCAGCCGTACCCGTATCAGCAACATCCCTACTCCAACGAACCAATGGCGCACCAGGTGGTGAAAGGGGTCACCTCCGCCTTAGCAGGTGGCTCCCTCCTCGTCCTCTCCGGTCTGACCCTTGCAGCGACCGTAATCGGACTGACGGTGGCTACTCCACTGTTGGTCATATTTAGTCCGGTACTAGTGCCGGCGGTGATCACCGTGTTTCTTCTGGTAACTGGGTTTTTGACGTCGGGAGGATTGGGTGTTGCAGCGACCATGGTGTTATCATGGATATACTCATACGTGACAGGTGGACGGCCGAGGGGGTCAGACTCATTAGACGAAGCAACGGATAAGATGGGATGGAAGGGACGGGAGATGAGAGAGAGGGGTGAGCATGGAATTGCAGGTAGGCATGATCGCGAGGGTGGTCACTACCAGCCTTAGACTTAAAGAAGCAAGATGTGTGTCGTCAGGTGTTTATTCGAGTGTTTTTTGTTTTAATGAATTTTATGTTAAAAATAAGGAGTGTTTTACGTATACATGCATATGTATGTATGTACGTGTATGTGGATGTGGATGTAATGATAATGATGATGATAATGAATGTGGATGTGGATGTGGATGTGGATGTGAATAAGAACTCCGTTATAAAAGTTGCAATAAATGAATCTTGTACTACATAACAATGAGAACAAAAGAATGTTGAAAATGGAAGTGCATAAATTACAACACTTTTTCTAGCCAAGTAAGAAAGAAAGGATGATGATGATCAGGTATTGGGGGTTCTGTATTGGTGTTCGTATTTGTCAAGCATCAGGTGACATTTGTTCATGGTTTTAGGGTCAAGAAGACCATGGTTCCATAGCTTAACCATGAATAACCTCCAACACCTGCAACATTTTATCAACACTAAATGATGCTTGGTTCTGTCTTAGTCTAATGTATCTTTGTCAGGCTTGGTCTAATGTGGTGGACATGGGATGGTCATTAAAGTAGTTTGGTTATATATTTTGATATCCAACACATTGAACTTCATATAAGGTGAAAGTTAAAGATTGAAAAGGGGAGAGAGGATACCAGTGCAGTTGTGGCGTACGGACGAGGTCTTTTCCATGCAAGTTAGAAAATGCTTCACACGCCCAGGCAATATGTGCATCCGCCAGCACCCTAACGCCCATCACATGTTAACAAAGACGAAATTATCATGCATCATATATTGCATTACATTCAGTATAACCCCATAAACAAGCATATTGGGTATATGGTGAGAATGGTGAGAAAACTTTTGACCAACTTAATTTTTTCAGAGTCATCTACCTTCAATCAGATTCAACTGAATTTATTTACCTTGCATCTCTGTCTTCAGTTTTGAATTCGTTTACTTTTAATTTTAAATTTATTTTCACTTTTATGAACTTTTATGTATATTTAATCACTTTGACATGTATGAATTTGTTAAACTTTCAGTCATGATGATAAGAAAAGGTAAAAATACATAGTTGAATATAGAAGAAGGTATATGAATATTTTGTTCTCACCTTTTCACCATAACTCTTATTCTCACAGAATCCAACCCCACATATATATATATACCTATATATTACCCAAGTGTGTGTGTGTATGGAAAACATATAAGTGGAGTTGAATTACCGTTGCTTTCTCACAAAAGAGTTCCAAAGATGCATCATTTGCTTCTCATCTTGAGTAACATCCACAAAGTCATCAAGCATCTGAAAGTGAATGTAGTTATTTAATTGGATCAGGATGTTAAAAGTGATGTAATGAATGCCCTCAAATCAGTTTTAACAACATAAGGAGGTGTCATCATCAAAAAAATGGGTTTTTCTTCTAAAAACTAGAAAAGAATACCCATGGTGACTGCTGAGGTGCTCATAAACATATTCCAGAAGTTGATATCAGCATTAAAGGTCACATCAAAACAGGAGAACATACCCTTCGGTCTTCAAGATCAGCAACATCATCGTCGACTTCATCTTCACTGTCTTGCTCTGCATACACTTGCTCCAATGCCATTGGCTAATAGTTGTTGGTTTAAAAAATTAGATTCAGATACTGGATGGTGAATTGGAAAGTTATGTTTTGCCAATAAGGAAACACATGATCCATTCCTACAGGATGCACCAGTGGAGAACTTCACAAACATGAAATTTGAAATGTAAGGAGTGACAATACAGATCAAACAAGGAAGACAATCAGATTGACTTTTGGTTCTCCCATTGATTGATGTTGTTATCTTGCCACCGAGTTCTCCTTATTGCTCCTCACCAACAATAGTATCACTAGATATTTACCCACAAACCAGCAATTCATAACAAATAATGATAAAAATGCTACAAGATAACCTGTGCTCTATGAGAGTGAAAGAATTGCCGCTTCTGCAACAGCACTTGGCTGTAAAAAGAAAAGGAGAGAACGATAAGTGAGATAAGTACATATTTAAAAGATATCATTTCACTATCCATCACAATTTCATAGTAACTATTGAGGTGATTCACAAAGGCTTAACCAGGTAAAACCAACGGGATACCAAGATAATTTACGATCGAGTTTGTTTTTGTGACGACTTATTCAAACAAGCATTTATGGAGGCAGCCTGCCTGCCAAAAATAACTTATAGCCTATTGCAAAAGCAGACAGTCTGACTGTCTAAGTATAGAACCATAGAACAATTCTAGACAAAAACTTGTAAATCTCGTACCCTCCACTACTGGTCTAGAAAACAGAAGATCGAAAAACATACTTTCTGGGATCGGATCTTTCAACTGATAACTTCCTCGTCTTTGCAAATTGTAGCAGTGCAGGAGGTGCAAGGTTGCTTGCAGGTATTGATTGGGCAGCAGATTCTTGTCCAGCGAATGAGACACCAGTAGCACTTGATGGACATGTTGCATTAGGACTACGAATATCCCGTTCCACACGCTCAGAAACACCTGAAAATGAAAAAAAAAATTAACAAGGCCCTTTTCACCTCAATAAGTAATTATATTCAAACAGTATTTGTTTAACTTCATCAGAGTTTCATAACCGAATCACCAGAAACAATTATAGACTAAACAGAGGAGCATTCTAAAATTATAACAAGACATGACTTATATGTAGCAATCAGCATTATATTGTACGGGCCATTGGGATCGCAACCAAAAGTAATCATATGGGTCCCCTCATAGGTCCTATACTTTTTTTCTGTTTATTTCTTTCATCCTCTAGATGACTTAACATCCAGCATGACAAATTTCCTGTTATAAGCAATTGTAATTTCTATAAGTAAAAACAACAAAAAAGGGCAAATTTAACGGCTTATAGAAGTGGTAAATTGGATTTTGAAGATCAGCAGAACTCTTTAAAAGCGTGCGGGTTCATAAACCTATGGATGGACATGGACTACAGGGAAGCAAACACATTTTTTCAGATAGTAAATGTCATTAACCAATCACGTTGAACGACAAAAACATACCACTTATGAACATCTTAGCATTGGAGTATGCAAGTATATCTGAAAGATATTCCATGTTCAGGAAAAAAAAGAAGTGTTATCAGCACCAAAACATAGATAGAAGCCAGACAAATGATTTCATGTGATCTATCTTGCCTCTTAAGTCACTGATAGTTGCAGTCATATCTGGATCCAACACAAGCGGATGAACATCAAGTGCATTTGGAGTTCGGTTCCCTGGTTCCTTGCGTCCCAAGGGCTTATGGCTGTGGGAAGTGTGTTACATCCATATAAGTTAGCATTCACTTGTATCAAAAAGCAAAAACCCAACAAACCTAATATCCTTGGACTGCAGCAGGAAAGAGAACTTTCGACTTACCAAAAGAAAAGCGACTGTTGTCTAGGATCAACAATGTTGCCAAAAATCTGAAGAGCATGTATTTAGAGGAAAAAGAGTGTTAAATAAGAGAAATACAACCATTGCAATTAATCAGCATTCTAAAGTCCCTGCATAGGTAGTTTTTCTCAACCGTTGCAACCGAACTTCCAGTTTCCATATGTTTACATAATCTAAAAATATTATACCTTACATAATAAATGAACCACTTATGGTCTTAAGCATTTGCACTAAGAGGTTGTTGGATCATCTAGATCCATTTAACACCTTTTAGAACTTGCATTTAGTTGAGTTCAAATAGAAGTGCATTATGAAGAATAAATAATCAAGGATGACAAGCGTGCACACACTGTAGACTTTGAACACAACAGAAAGGAACGACTAATAAAGGGCAAATGAAGTTATGTACCACCCACGTAAACCCTAAAGCTCCTTCTCTGCAGATGTAAAGGGTTGGTAGAGCAAAGAACTTTTCTAATATTTCAGACAGGTGCAACATGACAAGAGAATTCTACGAATTACTAGAAGGGTACTCACGCAAAGCAACGAGATACATCTCGATTCTATGTGTTTTTGAAAAAAAGATAAATGTTTTTATTTGTAAATAAAATATAAATTTAAAGATATCATAAGAATTTGCAAAAACATATGGTATTAGTATCAAATTAACTATTTAAAAGGTTTTTTTATGCAATTTCTTTAATTCAATTTTTTTATTACAATTTAATTTAAGTTTATTAACGAAGTAATTTATTTTTGGTTTAATAGTATAATTTTTTATAAATATACTAATTAAGTATTCTGTTATAACTCAATGATTATCCTAATTATATTTTAGATTTTTTATATTTAAAATTAGATGTTTATCTTGTATTATGTTTATCCGCAGTTAGTTACACGAATTCAAACCTGAAGTTTAATAAGTTGCATTTATGCACAATCTACCTGTAATCTTGAATTTTAATTAATATGCATAAATAAACAGCACTTTATGCATAAAAAATGGTTTTTAAGAATTCTTGTCAAATGTTTTATAATATAGTTTAGATATTCCTGCAAGTGTTTATGATGTCTAAAAAGCCTAAAACGGAAATACCTAGGTTCATGTCAATTCACTGCATCTTTTATTTTTTATAATAGCTGCTAATAAGCTATGTTATAGTGGAGAAGTATACCGACCTCAGAATTGCATGTATCGGTCTTCACAGATACAATTACAACTTGATAATCTTCATTTACCTATGCATCATCAATAACATTATCAGTGTAAATACTCCAGCTAAAGGCAGAAAGCAAAAACGGTGGCAGATTCATGAAATTTACCAACCCAGAACTCATAGCGAAACAGATCATGTGACGAAACCAAGTGAAGTCTCAAACCCTGAAAGACGTCAAGAGAACCATATCACAATCATCCCTGTGCTAAAAATAGAACTAGAAGTATATTAAATTTTATGATATGCAACAAAGTCGGAACAGAACCATATCTACCTTATAACTTGCACATTTCATCAAGCAGAATGGACATGAATAATCTTCTGTAACTGCAAAATGTGGAACAGGTTTTCAAATCTCAGAACATCAAACCAATCAAGAGATGTCAGGTCTTCACCAAGATATGGAGACATTTTGTTCAATGTAGGATCCAAAAAGTAGTATTTACTAACTCATGTTAAATGACGATCACAGCCTTATGTGATCAGAAACATTCCAATAAAGGCCAAAAAGTTCCTCTAAGTATGGTTACATGGGGTTAGATGTAAATCTTTGTAACTCGTATATTGGAACGAAGATAATGCAATAGGACGTGTTTTTACGTATGGTGCAAATGAGTGAAGAAAATTGGTTTGCAAAGGCATCAAAACATAAAACGCAGTGTCAATACAGAAACGAAAAACAGCAATATTAGTTCAAAATCCTGCACTTGTACTACACAATGATACAAGAGCTGGTTTGCCAATTAAGAAAATGATTGTATTCTGGCAAGCCATGTGTGGACCACACTTGGGGGGATGCTGACCATTAATCCCACATATAACTTGGGAGCATCTGGTCACATTCACTCACAGCCAGTGGGGTCTTAAGTTGGAACCCTGATGTTTAATTGCAGAGGAGCCGCAGAAATTATATTCAGCAAATTCAGGCAGCAAAAAAATGTATTATAGCCAGAAACAACAAAGTTGGAGTCAAGAAACGTGAGCTACCTTCGCTTCTCTGCAGCATATTGTTGTAGTACTTGTAGTTGAAAATGACATTCGCAGCTCTTAGCCTGACAACAAAAGCAGGCCAAATTGCAGTTTCAATTCCAAAAGCAATAAAGGTGATAAGAGGAAAAATAAACGACGACAGTGAAAAACAAAAACAACTATGTGGCACCAAACAGAAAAGTGTTGTGTAAAAGGGACTAGGGAACTACATTATAAGAAACCCTTAATCCCTCCTCCAATCAAATAGTTCTGTATATTCCATAAGCATTAAATCTGATAGGTCGCAAGTTAAAAGCCATTTAAGCAAATCAATTACATAAAAAGAGAAATACTGTTGGGATATATAAGGAGCAAGCAGAAGCATCACAGAGGTGAAGATAAACAAAGAGCAAGACAACCACAACATGAGTACATAAGAGAAAGTAAAGAATGAAATAGAAGAGATCATGTTCCTCTAAAATGACAACTACCTTATAACATGAGGCAGCGAATTAGGAGGAATATTGTTGTATGAGTACAAGTCATAAGGAGATATATCTTTTGCCCCAAGTTCTTCTGCGGAAATCATGACTGGTACTTGCTGCAATATACTCTTTGGTAACCATAAAAATGACATCATGCCCAGTAGGAACATATTCATTAAATAAGTAAAAATTTCATGCCACAACACATGAAGTTAAGAGAGACATACCACAGCTTCAGAATTGTATGGAAACTGAAAAGATACACATTTCTCCTCGTCTGAACAACTCAACTGCAAATTCAAACCATTACCCCTCAATAAAATTAGGAATATATATATATACACAAAATAAGAAGCCAAGAAGACCAACCCAACCCCCTCAAGAATTAGGTGAGTTTGTTTGGTAAACATATATTTGTACTATGTGTCCAACATAAAGAGAGTTATTGTCATAAAGCGAAGATGCACAACCGAAAATGTGGACTGAAAGGTAAGTCATTAAAATGCAATGCATTTACTTGCAATGTGCATTTTACATATAAAATGCAATAAAGCTTATTAGTATTTCACTTTAACCACTCTTCACCAAATATATTTGAAAGCTTACCTTCATATAACAGGACTGCATGCTAACAGTTGACATCAACTCAACTCTCTCTCCTAAACTTAGGTTTGGAGAATTCTCCCATGACAGATGAAGGAAATCCATCGGAATCTTCCCCAATAAGCAGTAACCCCCGATATTTGCTGTCAGGCATGAACAAATTGTAGATAAGAACACAGATACATAAAATAGAAAATTGTAGATGAATCATGCCCATGGGGGCATGCTCCGGATGTATTATGTAGGGCACCATGTAACCAGCCAGATCAGAGAACTAAAACAGTGTCTAAAAGATGGGACAAGAATAATTCACACAGCATAGTATGGTGGACAACCATTCAGGCAGATTTTCAACTGAGACCATGTGATTGGATCCTTAGATCTTTCGTGTTATCCGTCAGACCGTCAATCTCATAATTCCGACAATCCTAAAATCTTCAAAATAATGAACTGAAACAAATTACAAAATGGACCACCAGGACTAAATCTCTTTGAAAGGGAAGGGAAGGGAAGGAAAGAAACTCAATATCGCCATAAGAAAATCATACATCTTGTTTTCTTCCATCTTTCGGTAGGTTGTAACGCCCCATAGCCCAAAGTAGAGATGGTCAAAAATCAGGTCCTGGTCCCAATTTGCTTATCCAAAACCGGTCCCGTCCCGACCAAAATACCAAGGCCCGGTCTCCATTTGTAAGCGGTCCCTAGAACCGGTTCCCGGCCCTAAGTTTTTTTCCTAAAAATCAATTTTGAACGTAAAAAATTGTTTGAAGATTTTCTTTTGGCAATATCTTACTAAAAATACATTTTAAAGTCCATAATTGGGTTTAAAAATATTTGTTAGATCTTTCTTATACAAAAATGTCATGGATGTTTTTATAGTTACAATTGTTGAGATTTAGTATTGAACACTTGCAAAAACTTGAAAAACGTCAAAAAAACTTGAAAAACTTTAAAAGAAATTCAAATCTTGTAGAAATAGTGGAAAAACTTGATATATAATTTATCAAAACTTAATTTAAAAAAAAAATTCAGGCCTATGTATAACCAAGCCCATAACCGGTCCCAGGCTGGGCCATGAAATTTCCTAAAAATCGTAACAAGTTAAGGACTGTCCAATCCGTCCTGGGCCGGGCCAAGCCCAAGTCGGTCCCGCTCCCAGGCCGGGGCCATTTGGCATCTCTAGCCCAAAGTAGCAAGTTGACCCCATAGTTATCAAATCAACTTAATGCCACGGTGGAAGATATTGGCAGGCCACAACCTTGTACTAATAAGGAGGTCACATATCTAACTTTCTATCCATGTAGGACAGATTGTTACATGTGTAGAAAACCATTCTGAAAAAGTGGCAATAAAACAACGTATCATGAACATGTGTATACTCTGGACATCAATAAGGAACAGCAAGTCCAGTTGCAACTTTTTCAGTAACTTCACACTCAGGAATCGCAATGGCATTTGCTAAAGGAAAATGACGGAAGAATCCATAAATAATAAGGATAGGATTAAAACAAGAAGAATTCATCTCAACCCAATAAATCCATAAAACACAAGAAAAACACAACACTTTGTAAAAGTAACTAGAAGATCAATTATAGCTTATGTAAAGCATATCTTACAAGCAGGAGAAAACATATGGTCCTTGGTTAGATCAATCTCTTTAGGATTGGTGATATCAGCTGCAAAAATTCATAGATGTTAACTACTCCAACAGACAGATCAAAATATTCATCTGAATACAACCAAACTAGCAAACATGACATACCACAGCTCACCAACAACATAGCAAGAGAGCCAGATTTGACCTCTGTTGATAGCTTATTAATCTCGGGCAGAATAAATTTTGCTCGAGCTGACCTCACTGACTGAGCTCCATTAAAAGAAGTCAACTTGCAGGCCCGTTTGAAGCGATAAACACTAGAACGCTGTGTCTAGAAATCAGACCAAGAAATAGTCCAGATGGAATCAGAAAAAGCAGTAGAACATATAGTTTCAAAGGAAAAACGGTGAATAAAGGAATTAACCCAAAAGGAAAAATCCATAGAGCTACCTCCCCATTCGGAGTAGAAACTGGTCTCGCCAACAATATGTACAAGGGGAAAAGACTCTGAGTTTGCAGTCCACCAATAGCTCCGCTTATGGATATCGATACTTGTACCCTGGAATCAACAGAAGCAAGAGAGTATCCTTTTATTCGTAGGCCAGTACACCATAGATCAACCAAGAGTATATGTCAACCTTATTACTCAAATATCTATAAAAAAATTAAATGTCTGCATCTGATCTCACAGATGAATGAAAGAATATGAACCATACAGTATTTCTCAAAATGGCTCCACCACTTCCACTCAGGTACTAAATGGAAATATGCAATCATGGAGCTAGTTCTTTAGTGATCTCCAGTGGGGGCGTTAGAACATGCTTTTATACCAATACAGGGTTACTACAATTACTTTTAAGTAATTTAAGCAGGATGTACAAATAGCGATAAATGGCGGAAGCCTGCTTAACTTTATCATGGAGCTAAGGGAACACCACTAAGAAAACACCACAACAACTATGGAATCAAATGTCCTGAAAGCCAAAAACTTTATGGGAAAGAAACTAGATAATGTATATCAACAATAACTAGATGATTTGCCAGAGGTACTATCCTCTTTTCAGAAGAGTGAACGTAAAAATCAGTACGAGTACAAAAAGCTGTGAAATTATGATGTCATATATCTTGCCTTCTTTTGTATTTCTCTTGCAATTTGTAGTGCAGACATCTTTGGAGAAATGACGGCTGCATGAAAACCATACCATCAGTTAGAAACCAAGCATACAGATACCTTACAAAGATTGGACTTTCCACGTGTGTCATCATAATCATGGTTCCCAGTAGAAAAGGGGATAGTGCCAAGTTCTGATAACATTCTCCAACTAAAATTCATAGGTACCCGTATTTTTGTGCAACATTTCAATGATAATGTGATCAACTAGAAGCATGGTACTTGAGATTGAAAACCAGAAAACATTAAATATTTAAGTTATAATACAATGTACATAGATCAACCATCAACCGTGCCCTAAAAGCTATATATACTAAAAACATGGAGAGCATACAAAACAAGCAACTTACATTTTTAATAGCACGGCGTTGAAGAATGTTGTATAGTTCTACAGGCTTGCAATAAACTGAAAGGCTTTCTTCGGCTGCAGTTTGCTCTTCCTCGGACAAATGAACACGGGGTTCTTGGCGGCACATCTGATCTGAGTCTCTGGAGTAACTGCAAACACAAACATAAATCCTGTTACATGAGTCCATCAGACACAAAACAGAATGGACAACAAATAAATGGCTACTAATAATAACAGTACGAACTATAATGACATCCATGCATTAGAGACCATAATCTATTTAAAAAATGCTTAATCGTCTAGATAGATTGCCAGAAATGCAAGATAACGTACTTGGCTTCACGAGAAACTAAAGGTATGCCTGGCATTCTGGTTAGACAATGCCAAATCGCAAACTCATTGCTATCTGCACCTCTCTAGGGTCACTTTTGGCCCCTGCAGACCTGCATTTAGTAAACATGAACTGATCCAGTTTACAGAGTGTGGATGAAGGGTAAAGTGAGAATAAGAAGCCATTCCATAATTCTCGCTGACTCTGATTTATGGTAATTACTTTAAGCATTGTGACTCTTCCAAGGGAGCACCTAATCCTATGTTCCCGCTGATCCAGATTTAATCAAGTTCTTTGCAGTCAATCCCTTGGTTAGTCTGCGTTTATGGTACCTCAAAACACTCTTCTTTTGATGTTTTCCTGAAAGAACTTAGTTGGAATTTTTGGTTTATTTTCATGATGTTGTTTGCTTTCAATACAAATAAATTCATCCAGGACCCAAAAATTCAAATATTAGCAGTCTAAAACAACTGGCGCAAATCTATATAAGACATGGTTTGCAACCTCCTATGGCTAGTAACATACACTTACTGATGGTGATCCTAAATTTTGCCATTATGAAACTCAAGCAATTAATGTGCCTCCTGCAAATTATGGAAAAAACTGCTAATGAAAGCATAAACAGTGATTATATATTTGTATTTGTGGCATTATCTCCTTACTTGGTACCCAGCCTTCTACTCTCACAATACTTCACGATTTAATTATCAACGAAGCAAAAGACAATGCAACAGATTCAACACGAATTATTAAAGAGTTCCATAATTAATAATCAATTAAACAAGTGTTCATCTGGAATCGAACTCTATCGGCCCACCAAAATACCAAATACCTTGGTGGTACAAATCCCCTCTCCTTTGCCAATTCAAAATAAAATTTAAAAAGAAAGAGAAACTTAAACAGGATAATGTTGACCACATTCTCTAAAATCTTGACGTAAAATTAGGGCAAGAAGATGGTTGATCAAAAGAACGTTGACATATAATTCAAGTTTTTTTCATAAGGAATTAATCAATGAATCAAAATGCGTATAGTTGATTAAATTATAAACCCTAGTTTAAGATTGAAACACAGAACGATTATTACCTCAAATGTTAGAAGCCCAAATACTTGTTTTGGAGATATGAGCATAGAGAGAGAGAGAGAGAGAGAGAGAGAGGGTGTTCCGCAGAGTTTGATGTCAGCTGGTGACTTCTGTGACGGTGATTATGTCACCAGCTCCGCATTAGGCGTTCCGCGTTACAGCGTTACAGACTACAGAGTGGGAGATTGTTTATGCTATTTATTTAATAATCTCATCCTTCATTCATTGGGCTTATCTAATGGGCCTTCATAAGCCCAAATTAAGATTTTAAATAAAATAGTTAATTACGTTTTAGTCCTTATACTTCGTTAAAAATTGCAATTTTCGATCCTATGGTTTAGAAATTGTTGTTTCGTCCCTATCGTTTGTAATTCATTGTTATTTTTGTTCTTATGATTCACAATTTATTGTTGTTTTGGTATCTTATAATTAAAGATAGGAGTTAATCCAAGGATGAAAATACCACTAATATCTTAACCATGGGGACAAAAATAGCAAGGTTTTAAACTATACAGACAAAAATCATAATTTACTCTAAATAAATGACTTTAATAAAGGTTCAACTCATAAAAAGATGATACGTTTAATTAGAATATCGTTTAAGGTTATATACTTAAATATACATGTATGGATATATACGGTGGACTTTACATTTTAAGAAGACAATAATTTATTTTAAATAACAGCTTTGACTCGTTATAACTACAAGGGGGGTGTCTGATTGGTTTGAGCTTGGCTCCAAATATCAAAAGTACCAGGAGGTCCCAGGTTCAAATCCAATGAGAAATAAAAATCCCTTTGTGGCCACAGAGGTTCAAATGCCATGATTCCGGGCTATCTGCAGAGCAGATGGTCGTCCTGATATTAGTCGGCTCGCATAGCGGGTTGGATATCCAGGTTAACTAGGAAAAAAAAATCTCGCATAGAGACATAGGCAGCACAAATTCAATTTCGATACATAAACCATGTATGTGTGACAGTTGTATGAATACTATTAATATCGTATCGATTATGCTGATAATAAATCCATTAGTTGCAACAACCTTTGTCCAACTTCTCATCAATCGGTGCATGTGAGTTTCAATCGTCACATAGATAATTAGAAATATATCATTAAATTAAATGTCTAATGTGTTATAAATGCAAAGAAGACCATAAAAAAAATTCAAAAAAATGAGAATCAATCTTAACGTGTTGTTTTATATGATTTTTTGTTTTCATCTAAAATTAATATTAATGTATTGTTCACATATCTATTTCTTTTAACTGAATCAAGGGTCACTTAAATTTATAAGATAATAACAACTTATATAACATAAATGAAGTTGGAAATCGTATCGTCATTCTTCTAGTACCATAGCTAAAGACCCACATATGGTCAAATACGATAACATACAAATACAGAATAGTTGTGAAAAACTGATACCTAACAGAAAACTACAGAGTGTTGAAACAATTATTCAGTGGGTAATTTGTAAAAAAACAAATTAATAAAGAACTAAAAGTAAAAATCTCTAAAAAAATATTATATTTAACTCCAACAAAATTCTCTATTTTAGAGATCTAAACATAAATCGTATTATTATAATGTTCTCTAATAAATTACGGACGGTCAATAAAAAATCGTATTAAATCTTACAAATATTATCAAATGCTTATCATAACTGTAACTATAAAAAGAAAAATTAGAGAAAAACATCACCTTACAATTGAAGTAAGAAAAGGAAGGCGTTAACAACAAATAACTGAATTTGAGTAATGATAAGTCAAAAAATGGGGGAATTTTGAGCAAGCAGCTAGTTTCCTAAACTTGTGTCGAGCTTGTGACCGCCTTTGTGCGTAGATATTCGAAGATCAACCATGTCTGAATGTGGATTTTCTAATCGAGTCGTAGCAGATTTATCGGCATGACGTTTGGGTCCTCCTTTAATTCTTGCAGCAATTAGTTCATTTTTGATCGGCATGTTAATGTCTGCATATCATAATTATATATCACGATCGTTGCAAACGCATCAAGCATGATTAATGTGGCTCGAATTGTGATTGAAAAAAAACGCATATAGACATTGAAGATAAACCAAAGGTGGAGATGGAAGCTTCAGTATACGAGACAAATGAACTGAAAGTCATATGAAATAACTAACAGTCACATATTGAATTTAACAAAACACACAACATTTGAGTTTTTTTTTTCAAATCTAAGTTTTCTCTATCATTGATTCGAATCGGATATACTGGAGTATGTAATAATCGTAAATCAGTGAATTAGAAGCAATTTCGATGAGATTGTTATGGAGATACGAATAAACGTAAGAAGATCCGAATGAACATTACCTGGATTTGAAAAGAACCAGAGAACGAGAGCACAAAAGAGGAGAACGAGAGGGATAAGATGAACAACTTTTTCCGAGAATCGAACACGCCCAAATCTATCCTTCTTAGACGTTGTAGAGGAGGGCGAAGGTTCGTACTGCGGCAATTCGTTGGCTTCCAAAGCTAATGCTCTGAGCGCCGGTGATACTGCCTTTGACGTCGGTGATTGATTGTTGATACTGTAGTAACTGTCATCGGAAACTCTGCTGGTGCTCACCGATCTGAACATTTTTTGGCTTTGGAATTTTGTGAATGGTGTTCCTTGATTTATGAAAAATCAGAAATGGAGAAGAACCAAAATTATGGAAAGAGAGAATTGAAAATCAAAAAGTGCGGCTTGGATTTCGGAGAATCAGTTGTGTTAGAAATGCTTCAGATTTGACTTTTGCATGGTTCGCAAAGATAGCATTGAGAAGCGAGTCTGATATATATATATATATCTTGTCTTGTTACTTTATTTTTATTTTATTTTTATAAATATATAATTATGATTTTTAATGTTAGAATAAATTGTAGAAATTATTGTATTAGTATAAATTTTGTTAATCAATCTTAATCGTTTATCTAGTATAATAAATATCTGATTGTATTTTGATATAAAATGTTGATCATAATATATAGACTAATAATTTTCTATAAATATCTTAATTAATTAATTTTTACTAATGATTGAATTTGTAAATGAAACGTCACACATATATAAATGTGCGTGTATAAGACGAGGGAGGATCAAAAGTCAAAATAAGAAATCAAGAAAACGGTCAAATCGTATGTGATTTTATATATGATTACGAAATACGATCAACTCAAGGGTGAGTGGATGAACTAGCCTGTGACCTCAAAGTCACGTAAATCATATATGATTTTGCACATGATTTTAGTATTTCAAGTTCTTTTGTTTAATTATTGTTTGTTTTATGAATTTGACTTTATTAAGATTTATTTATGTACAAAGGTTTTACCAAATAATGTTGGTTGGCTTAGCACAAATCAAGAATATTCAAAGGGATTTCAAATATATGAAATGCTTTTATCAACCAATGACATTAGTCAAAGAATCAATATAAACAAGAGTTAGTTCAAACATATAAAATCAAAAATTGTGATTGTAATAAAAAATACATATAGAATATAATTAAAATCCATTTTTAATATAATGTTAACTCATATAAATAATTTATAACATCAGTTTATATATTCATTTTTAAATAATTTTTTTTTAATTTTATCAATGTTCACAAGATATATTTTTCATTTACCTTCACTTCTCACAACATGTACGAGCTATTTGGTTCATCCTGTAAATAGGAATGAAAATGAAAATGACATGAAATGAATTTTTCTTCCCTCCAATTTGACTTGTAATGAAAATATGGATTTGTTTGGAAATGAACCCATTGTATTATACAAAGCTAAACAATTTCTTTTTACTTTCAATCGAATTAATTATCGCTTAATACCTCTAAACCAAGCATCCCATCGGCCTTCTTATTTAAACCACCCCTAAATAATCCAGTTTACGATCAACAAAAAGTTTGGTTTTTAATCATCAATACCGAACAAAGATTTATTTGGTTTCATGTACATTGAGATACAAGCTGAACCAAACAATTGGTAATTGGTTCAAAACGTATCAACAATCCGAAAGAAAAAAAACTAAACAAACATGGTCATTACGAATATTTTTGACATTTAAGATTCCACATATTAATCGAGGTGTGTACAAACAACTTCAATCACAATCTAGAAAAGCCTCATTTTTTGTCTGAATCGGAATTGACCATATGTTTTTTGTAAGGGTGTCCGGGCCAAAGCCCGACTAATTGACCATATGTTTGTACCGATACTTAAGGAAACAAGCAAAAACAATCGAGTTTGCAATAGCCCGATTGCAATTACATGTATTCATCAATTTTCCGATGGACAATGAATCACAATTGGTACAAATTCAAATCACGGGGTGGAATGGTGACCTATCATACATTTCACGAAGGTATCTCTTTCTGTGAACAAAAACGATGAATTTTCCTACAGCATAAAGCTTTCTGTACACCCTTCTTTTGACGTGGAAAACAGGCCTTTTTTAAGTCAGTAAACATATACTGGTTTGAATATGATTAAAAAAAATTAATAGCAAAACGTTTTGTATGTACAGGGAATTTATTCCTATCACATCAAAGCATACCAAAATCAATCATAGCCCAGCATTTCCGCTAGTCTTGTATTTCTGGCAGCGTGTTTTAGTTTCTCCAGTGCAACAAGGCCTACCTGCCTAACTCGTTCTCTTGACAAACCTTTCCTGAAATAGTAATGGTATCAGAAGGTGTAGACAACAAGTAATGTATTTACATCTATTGGTAGTGTTCCGGTCCAAAAATCTGGAAGTTTAAAAAAGGATTAATGAAGCTCAAGTTGACTTTGTTTACTAAACTACAGGTTTGTTTGTTAGCAGCTTAATGAGCTTAATAGGACTCACAGCTTATTCGGTTGCTATATATGACGGTTTGGTAGTGGCTTAATGATATAGAAAGTGGCTTGTTCAGTAAGCTTCTAAGGGGAGCTTTATGCAAAAAACCAAGTTTTTTATAGTGCCCGCTCATACCAATTAAGAAACGCGCTACTTCCATTCATGAAAAAACAAAAAACCTTCCCAATCATACACATAGATTAATCCACACAGATAACTTTATCTGTTCAAGATTTAATGGAAAACCGATGAAACAGCCGCAAGACTAATAAAAAGTAAGAGAGATAAAAAAAGTAGTGGATGGATTGTACCTCCTACTGATGTCCTCCCAAGTAAGATATTCATTGTCCAGACCGTAGTAAAGATGGATGATCTCTCTCTCACGTTCTCCTAGAGTCATGGTAATCAGCTTTCTTACTTCATCCTGCAAAATAAGAAGCAGGTCACAAATCATAGTATTATTGGTCCCCTATTTGAGACATGTTCTCTAGTTGTTTAAACTGCACCAACAAAGGCATGTACCACTCTCTCAATTCCTTCATTATTGTTGGTGATTTGTATCACTAATATCATTTAAGTGTAATGGGATTAATTTGTCGACCAATGTAATCATGATAAATATCGAACAAGTAAGGAAGGTGCGGAGTGCACACTTGTTTGAGTTTATTTTGATTTTAGGGGCGAAGCCCCTAAACGACGGGAGTCCGGGGGAAGCGCCCCCGGTGGCAGGGTCCAAGGGGCGAGCTGCCAGGTCAGCTTGAATTTTTTTTATTCAGGTAATATTGTTTTGTGAAAATTGCATCAGAAATCCGAATTTTAAATTTTAAACCCGGTTTTTTAGCCCGGTTTAGGGTTCAAAAAACTGTCGTTTTGACAGTTTCCGTATTCAATTTTTGAATTGGTCATTTTCGTCTTGAGAGGTATATAGATTCATAACGATTTTGGATTATGAGTTCGGTAAACCACTGAATTTTATCCGATTGATATTTCGATTGTACCGTTGAAATATTTCAATCTAAAAGTGATATACGACTTTCAGTGGATTCCAAACAAATTTCTAACAATTATCATTACTTTCCACTTTATGTGGGGAGACAAGATCATCTTTAATTGGAGGCATGGTAGGAGTATGTTCATTATTTGGTTATTCGGACTTTTGTATATAAATCCAAATTCGGCAAATGTTTAATGAAGAGCATGCTTTGGGTCATGTTTTATAACTGTAAACTAAAAAGCCTCGTTTGATAAGTCTTATACTAGCTCTTTGAAAAGCTATTTCTATTTACGTTTCAATAAGCTCTGGGTTTTTTTCCACTTTTTCAGTCATGCCCCTATATTTTAGAATTGATTAATTTTTCAACACGTCACTTAGAGGGTTATCTATAAGTAGTTTTTATCAAAGATGACTAGTTTATTAGCTACCTTATTAACCAACTAACTTATCAACTAGTTTGTCAAATGTAGGTTTGGCAACAACAAGAAGCTGAAAACCAACTAGATCCCCAAGCAACATGATAGGGTACACAAGAGTGCATGCACTAATGCAATGTTTTTTTTTCTTTCCGGGACAGATGTATAAGATGAAATGCATGATAAAAGAAACAAACATATATAACAATAGAAATCATAAGCATGGGATTTGTAAACATGTTAAAGTACCTTGAGAGCCCCTTCATCTACTCCATGCCATGGGTTATTCTGAGGGGAATCATCTGCAATGTACTGCAGCAATTACCGAAGAGAGGTCAAAAAATGAAAAAAAGGGCGGCAGTGATTTCATTACTTTGATTAACTAAAACTTACACTGTGAAGTGTATCTCCAGGAAGACCATTTAAAGAAGGGAAAGCTTCCTTATCAAGTGAGAACACTTTATAGACTGCCTACATGCAGAGTCATTTAATATTAAGAACATGGCAGATGGATAGAAATTATTGTGGATTGGGAGTTTGTCAAATACTTTTAGTACCTCAGTGGCGTTTGTAACTTTCTTTCTGGACATCTTCAGGCTTTCCGCAATTTTCTATAGGATCAGAGTGGAAAAAGAGCAACAGAACATAAGAAAATACACAGAAAGAAAGAAAGAACAGAAGAAAGGCCCAAGGATGGAGCTAGGAAATAACCAATTGAGCATTGCTTTCAAGTAATTGTAGTGTTTAACTTACATCGATTGATGGGGTTATTCCTTTTCGCTCTAGTTTGGACTTGGCATTTCGGATTGCACCCAGTCTTTCATGCAAGTGAGTAGGCAATCTAAGGGTCTTGGAATTTTCAAAGAAAGTTCTTGTGACACCCTGGCATTAAAAAGATATAAAGTAAGAAAATACAGCTTTATCCATGTAGCTTCATAAATATGGTTTCTATTGCAAATGCGTAAAGAAATACTGTTGTTACAGGAACAAATAACCCAGATTTAGAATTAAGGCTGTTACAATTTGCTTATGCTACACCAGTCAGTGTCTACAGTCTTCTTCTAAGATGAAAAAAAGGTACACCCATAAACTGGCTGTATAAATCATCACTGTAAACAGCTAATGGATCTGTCATTCACCATGCTTAACTCTGTATGCAAAGTTGCAAGCTACAACACATGTGGGTAAGCAATGGAGAGAGTAAACTGTGACTTGCATGGAAGTCATGAATATGGAGCAATTGACTCCCGATGCAAAAACATAGAATTACGCAATTTTATGAGTAAGTAAGCAAGAAGATCTAGTGACCAATAGCAAAGGGTAGTTTCTGTTCAAGCCACTATTCATTAGTGGATGATGGGACACAAAGAACTTGACACACAGTATCATACACTGAACCGATCATATAAGAATTGTATTTGTAATCCTCACCTGCCGTATCCACCAATAGACATATGTAGAGATCTTGTGCCCCCTAGATGAATCGTATTTCTCTATCCCTCTGAGTAGTCCAATCAGACCTCCCTACATGAATACAAGGTCAAATTATGAATAAGAGAAATCCACGGTTATAGATGCTGATATTACTGACATCTATAGACTAAATATTGCATCCTTAAGTGAAGATCAGCAATGAGTTCAGCCACCTGAATTAGGTCAGACATGTCGGCTCCCATGTGTTTGTATTTTTGTGCAACAGACATCACCAGACGGACATTGCTCAGTGCCAGCTTCTCTCTTGCCAAAGTGCACTCGGTCTGTTTAGTTTGCAAGTCAAGTTGGGAAATCTGTAGGGAAGTTGCAAGCTGCTTCTCTGAAGGTTCGGTTCCCAATCTTTCCTTCAGTCTGAAAATTCACATCCAGTAAGTTTGGCAAGACTAGGTGGTTGATATATTAGTTCTCTAGTATTAGTGTGATGGAAATTCCTAGCAATAGAGGTTGGAGTCTCTTATTTACAGGATTCAATGTACACAGCTGAACACTCCATCTCTTGTTGAAAACACACATATTAACTTTAAATGCAAGAGATCAGATCTGTGGGTCACATATGCAGGAGAAGACAGCTATGACTCACACTGTCACACATAATCTATATATCTTTCAAGTGAAAATTCATTTAAAGGTTACTGGTTTTAGAGAGATTTTGGTTGATAGGATTTGGGGAGTGCAGATAGACCACAGACACACATTTATCTTCCTTGACAAAATCCATTACCTTGACTTCTCCTCCTCTAAGTGTAGGCCAATTTTGATCTTTTCTGATAGAGCAACTACCTCTGAGTGAGTGAGCAACGCTTCATTTCTTACACCTTTTAGATAACCTCTTTGACAATTTTGAAGGAGTTCTGGACTGATTATGGATCTCAACTGCCTACTCCCACCAACTTGATTTACAGAACAATTTCTACTTGCCGTTTTATTCTGAGCATCTATTCGACGCCTTCGTGCAGATATCCCAGAACCAGTGACATGTACCTTTCTGCTGTTTCTTTCTGTGGGATTAGCTGTAGTGGTCCTCTCTGTTGAAAGGGTCCACTGCTTTTCCAGCAAAGACTTGTGTAATAAGAGCAAAGCTTCAACTGAAAGCTCATGCTCAGAGACTTCCTCATCTAAATGGTCAAACTTCTGAACCCATTGGTCTGTGCTTGGAAGATCTAAAGCCGTATCTACATGTTCCTTCAGAGCTCTGATGGAATGAGTATCCCGGCTGTATATAAATCCATGGCCATAGTTGGATGACTTTTTTGAAGCGATCAAATTTGTAGCCGGTACAAATATGAACCCAAGATTGCTACTGCAGGACAGCTTGTCACTGACATCAGAGTAATAAGGTGATGAACCCAATAACATTTTTACTGCTCTTAGTCCAACAACTGCAGTTGTAGACATCATATATGTGGCGTTAGTCAACTTACAAGAAATAGTATCACATCCTTTGAGAAGGTCGTTTTACAGCAACCATGACTAAGCAATAGAATTGCTGAACAGGCCTTCAGGTTTCCTGGAGATCTTAAAATTTCTGCCAATTACAAAAAGGGAAGAAATATAAATAAGAGTGTTACTGAAGAAAGAGCTTTTCGCTGAAATAGTTGGGTTTTCACCGTACCCCTTTGTGGACAGTGATGAATGACAGGTAAAACAACGATGCATGTTTAAAGAAAGTTTCAAAAATCAGAAACTAGAGACAAATAGGTGGAAATAACAGACTGATTTGGTAAATCAAAAGGCTGCATAAGAGCTTTAACTAGCAATGCTGTGATACAATCAGTCTAACTCAACGAAACTGCTAAATTTTTATGAAATGTTCTGGAACTCCAATTCCATGCCATAGAATTGGAATTGGAACAAGAGCTCCACTTTACTTCTCCCAAACAGTATCTAGCATTAATGTTCATGTTAGTGGGACTACCCAACAGGCCAACACATCCTGGTTGTTTACCGAACTATGCATGGACTGATTGTACACATCCCAAGCTACCCATCACCTGAACATCAAACACTAATTGGTTTCGGGGCATATACTCTGACTCAACTCAAAAATCTATAAATAGCAGGCCCAAAGGAAAGAATATCACTTCTCTCCTACAGGACCGAGCTCTTTACTCCCTTGAGGTGGATCAAGGGGATAAATCGCTCTTAGAATTCATCTATGCATGTGTTAGGGGTTCATCATAGCTTTAGAGAATGGAAAAGATCAACATATCATGTGCATAAACCCAATAAAAGTCTACTATCCAAGCTCAATGTCAGGGCCAATTTGAACATGATTTTGATCACAATTCAATTTTAAGCCAAAAAATTTATTCTCCCATCCTAACCTAGGTGTAGCTTCAACCATACTTGCATTTCATTACATATTTACATCACTGGTAGTTCACTAGAGATGTAACGGTAATGACATCAACCATAAATTACTCTAGACATTCTATCATACTCTAATCTCAAGCCTGAGATGCGAATAATGTACCCAAGGCAATCAGACCTCATATCCTGAAATAATCATCCTCCACTATGAACATAAGCTTCATCAAAATGCAATCAAAAGTCCACATGGTGTGTTACAGATTCAGACCCCAATATAATTAAACAATACTTGATTAATAATCAATCAACATATTTGCAATTCACATCGACACAATTTACTGGAAGTCTTACATTTTCCCCGTTTTTCTTGCCACATTTAATTATTTTGACAGAACTATACTTAGCACATCAAAAGTAAGCTATCATGCCAACTTCCGGAACTTTTAACAGTTCTGATATGTGAACACTTCCGATATCAACTTATCCGCAATAATAAACAAAATCAAATACTGTCCAATGTTTTTTTCATAACTACAAACAGATTTCATCTTAAACAGTCTCGAATTACACATTGTAATGGCGTCTACATCACAAATTATCACAAGAAGTTCATCGGCATTACCTTAACCGGCGTAGGTGACGACGGAGATCTAGGAGTGAGATGGAGAGCGTGGTTGATGAGTGGACTGTGTGGTGTGGTGACGGTAACCTGAACAGTTTTTGAATTTTTATAAAAAGCATTTATAGTATATTATACGGATATGTATGTATATATTAAAAAAGTATATATCGGATAGAAGTTGTTGGAGTTGGAGTGGGCCCACATATATACTGGGGGATAGAATTCGTGGATCTCTGGATCACATATCCAATCTATTCCGGCATAGATGGACTTATCGACATGTGACACGTCATATATTTTGTAATGTATTTTCTTTCTCGCTTCTCAGCCACATACTCTGATCGTCTATTTGTAAGGACGTGTGTTTGCAATGCTACTCTTTTAGTACATTAAAAATATTATATTTATAACTATATGTCACATTTATTAAATATATCATTTAATAACGTGACCGAATATGATGACTTGACAATATAAAATTTGAGCAGGGACGTTTCAATCTTTTTAGAGACCTTGCGACATTCAAAACTTTTAATTACATTGCATAAATAAGATAATAGAAAACATATGTTAAGAACAAAAATGGATTAAACCTAAAACGATTAACAACCTGAAACTAAACCTAATAATGATTTAAACCTAAAATCAAACAATTAATGGTTTGAACCTAAATAATTCCGGCTATAATTTTACACAGGTTGATTAAAATACCCTAAACACATGTAAATTTGGGCCCCAAATTTTCGGAGACCTTGTTCAAAATCTCACATTTAACATGCTAAGGGACGACCCTGTATTTGAGTAATTCTCGTATCTTAGTATGTAGTTGAGTTTCATCATCTCATATTGGTGAGAATATGCAGATATGGAAGTGGGAATTAAATATAAGGAATGAGAGGTGGATGCATTTGTGTCAACTCATGTGGTTGTCTCAACTTGGCTTGTTTTATCTTTGTAAAAAATTATTTATATAAAAAATAATTATAAGAATATTTTTATGTTAACTAATAGAGTTGACTCGTTTTATGTAAATTTAATTTTAAATCAATCATCAACCAATATCAATATAATATATTAAAGAAAGTATAAGCCAAAGAATATAAAATGTGTTGTGAAATTTCATTGTTGAAATGAAAGCCAAACAAATGATAAAGTCTATAGCTGTGAAATTTATATATACATAGAAAGAAGATGTTGAGATATCTATCTATATTTAAAAGAAAAATGAAGAAGTATTGATGCAACATTAAATATTGAGTATTCTATATTTATTGAGTTAAGAATGAGTTTTGTCTATCCTAGATTGATGGATAGGTGAAAGATTGACGATTGATGGTAGGTATATAAGAGAAGATTGAGATGTCATTGTTTCAACTCATGGGGTTGGATTTTTTTTTTTTTTTTGGCTCATCTTCTAAACTCAGTCGTTGGCTCAAGTTGGATAACGCTCCAAACTCATGAGGTTGGTTCGTTTTAGCCAACCCTAAGTAAGATTCACAAAAAATGATGTGTTACCCTAAGAATTAAGTACATTTCATAACTAAAGCTCTTTTTTTGCGTAGTCTTTAATTGAGGTTGAGTTTTGTCTATTGCACATTGATAGAGAGATGAAAGAATGACAATTGATGATATGTACATGAGAAAATGTGGGGATGTCTTTGTTTCAACTCATGGGTTTGATTCTATTTGTTAATCCTCTAAACTCATGTTGACTAACCCTCCAAATTCATGGGGTGGGTTCATTTTTGGCCACCCTCTTTTGGCAAAAAAATAAATTAATTAAATATACATAAAAAATAATAATATATCAATACAAAAGAAAGCTATAAAATAATGAAGTGACATCAATAAAATTTAAGTACTTTAAATTTTTTGCATTGTGGTTAAATTTTTGGTATCCTATCTTGAAGAGAAATTGATATGTCGATAAAGAAATATGAGCATATAAGAGAATTGTAAGATCCCTTTTAAAATTAAAAGGTTCATTTGGTTATATAAGCCATATTTATCTTTCAATTTTTTGAGTAATAGTTATTATTTTATAAAACTCAATCAACGCTATTAATATCCATCTTTATACGCTAATATTCTTTATATATATATATATATATATATTTATAAGTATTGACATGACACTCTAAGAATTATGTATTCTTTATTCTTGAATTGTGATTGAATTTTGTCTAACCCACATATAAATAAATGAAATATTGACAATGAATAGTGAGTATATACCAGGAGGTTGAGATGTATTTTTAATAACTCATGGGGTAGGCTCATCTTGGTTGCTTTTTTTGAACATTTGTGATTAGATCATTTTGACCAACCCTTAGACACATCGGGTTGATTCATTTTGGCCAACCCTCTTTTTGCAAGACAGTTAATCGATATTGAAAATTTATAATTACATATATAATATCTATTCTTTATCTATACTATATTATAAAGTATTTGACAAAAACTCTTAAAAACAATTTTTTATGCATGAAGTACTGTTTATAGATGCATATTATTTAAAATTCAAAATTACAAATAAATTGTGCGTAAATACAACTTATTAAAGCTTCACGTTTGAATTCGTGTAACTAATGGTAGATAAACATAGTCAAATACAAGATAAACATTTCATTTAAAATATAAAAAATCTAAAATATAATTATGATAATCATTGAATTTTAACAAAATACTTAATTATCAATCCTTATAAAATATTATATTATTAAATAAAAAATAAATTACTTAATTATTAAATCTAAATTAAATTATAATAAAAGAATTGCATTAAGGAAATTACACAAAAAACAAGAATTTTTAAATAGTTAAATTGATACTAATATTGATATATTTATTTTTGAAATTTTATGATGTTTTGAAATTTATATTTTATTCAAAAATAAAAACATCATCTCTTTCTCAAAACAACATAAAAACCATATTAAAACATCTACAGAGATGGAATAAAACGAAACAATAAAATCAAGATATATCTCGCTGCATTATACGAGTACCTTTATAGTATATTTAAAAGTAAGTACCACAACTATCAATGTGACACCTAAAGAATTTTGTATTTTTTAATCTTAGATTGTGATTGAGTTTCGTCTATCTTACATTGATAGGTAGATACAAGATTCACAAAGATTGGTGAATATATAAAAGAAGGTTGAGATGTTTCGGTGGCAATTCATATGGTTGACACCTCTTAATCGATTCTCTAACCTCAAAACATAAGATGTTGGCTGATTTTTGGCCAAGCCTCTTTTTGCAAAAGAAAATGAATTTGTTCTTAATTAATTAAACCAAAATATAATTAAATATAATATAAACATATAAAAGAATGCTATGAGGTATTGACATGACAAATTATAATTTAATATTTTCAAATCATGAATTGTGGTTGAATTTAACTTAACCCATATTAATGAGAAAATAAATAATTGAAAGACAGTTAAGTATATGAAACGAGAAGAAATATATTTAAATATTGGAAGGGTATTGATAAATGCACCATGAGTGGTAGGGGTGCTCAAAAACCCGATGAACCCGACCAACCCAACCCGAATAAAAAAAAAACAACCCGAGGTAACCCGATGCATGATCGATAAAAAAATTAGCCAACCCGACCTTATTAGGTTGGAATCGGGTCCGGCCCAAAAAAACCCGACCAACCCGACAACCCGATGAACCCGACCTTAACTTTAGCTTTGAATTGTAGATGACAATCATGACATGACCAACCTCAACGTCAAGAAAGCGAAAGCATTGAGGTTGGAAACGTCTAAAACTATTGTTGTTGATTGATGTATTATCATTTGGTTTAAACATTTTTATTGTAATATCTAAATATTTGATGAACTTGCATGTTATCTTGAATGGTCGGTCGTATTTTAAAGGAAAGTTTTCTTTATTTTATGTGATTTTATATTGTTTAAACACAACCCGATCAACCCGATCGGTCTGGGTTGAACTTTTGTTTGGGTTGGGTTGGATTGAAAATTTTCAAACCGCCAACATTGAGTTGGGTTGTTAAAACGGCTTCAAACCGATCAATCCAGGCCGTGAGCACCCCTAATGAGTGGTATTTTCAAGTTTGAGTTGATGTTATAGGGATATTGATGTGGCATCACAATATTACTCAATATTACTTGACATGTATTTTTTTATCACCGTGTGACGCTCGGATTATAGATTTTTTTCATCAATTTTATTTTAAATTCACATTTATTTGATTGTCTATCTTTATTATGGTTATTTATTACTACTACTATTATTTGTTTTTTCAGTTTTAGTTTCAATTGAACGTATCTATCTTATTAAAATTTAATTTAATTTATTTATTTAGATGAATATATGTCTATTTTAAAAGAATCATAATATTATAAGTTAATTATAGTTGTTTACGATTGTTTTAGAGTTCAAATCAGTTTGTGTGTATCTCGACTATTTTCAAAGGTCTTGAAGATAAGCATAAAAGTTTTCAATAGCCTTGAATGACTTGAACCGATGACTTTTAAGGATAATCCTCATACCCCAAAAGTCCAAAATTTATTGTCAGTTGAACTAATCACACAATATGTTTTTTTTTTCACGTAGAGGATTATCTATTTATTTGGATTTATTCAGATCTATTTTCCATATCTATATAAAAGAATGCTAAAATATTATTATACAGTGACCAATTTTTTTCTCACCCATATAATTGCTTTTTATTTTGAAAGTATGGTGTTTTCACGAAATAATAGAAATAAGATCTGTCTACATATCTAAATCAGATTTTTTTATTGGTGGTAACATAAAGTAATTGATACAATATGAAAACAAATAAAACTAATTATAAAATTAAATATATATTTTGAAAAATGTAATTTAATTAAACATAGTTTACAAGTCTATAGTGCATTTCCAGCAAACTCTTTTTAAATTCTTTAAGGTAGAAAATCAAGATTAATTTAAAAAAAAAT